GTTTCCCAATCGAGTGCAACCAACCCCTCGTGCCTTTGTTAATGTAGTACAACGGGCTCGTGAATCAGGTGACGGCATGCCGGTGCTCCAAGACCTCACGATCAAATACAGGTCCACACTGAAATACTTGTCGGGATGATACTTTATAAAACAAGGTAAAATTTTTTTTTATTTTTACACACATATTTTGGTTTATCTTCCTTCTACAATCATTATCTGAAAATTAATGACTCAACTTCAAAGTCTATCACTTTTTTAAGATTCATATATTTTCTTAACCAATTACGTTATTTTAAACTATGCGAAAGGACAAGTCGTTGAAGTTTTCAGATATCTGTATTTATCGATAAACACCGATTGGAATGGAATCTTTTAAACTTCAAAATTTGTTGCATCATCAATTCGCCACCGGATCGCGATGCGTCGATTAGAGCGAGCACATCTCTATACTTACGTCTGCATCATCTCTAGCTCGCGTATCTCTCAATGCCATTCGTCATTTGTGACAGTGTTTTTTAAGGCGTAGGGCGTAGCGTACGCGGGAAAAGCTCTTTCCCACCTATGATTTATCCATGATTTTCACTTGAACGCCGTGGAAAAAAGAAGCAGATTGGCAATCGGCGTGTCCTCCCCGGGCATTTGTTAACCTTAGAAAAAAGTGTTCGGTGTCGTAATAGGAAAGTGTAGGCCTTGAAATGACCTTTCATGTCATGGTCAGTCTCATCATTAGATTGCTTAAATAAAATCCTATGACTTGTCTTTGTAAGTATTTTCTGAGATACGGGAGGTGTCCTGAATTTTCGAACGCCCAGAATTTCTTTTTCTCTTTGAATATATAACGTAAATTCGCAACAAAGCATCAATCGGAAATCTTAATTGTATTCTTCAAAGGAAGCTATTTTTAGATCAAGGAAAATTCAAGGGTATGGGGTGGCCGAAAAGGAAAAGAACCCTTAAAGGATTTAAAAATAACACACCTGATTATTAGTAAGTATCTATCCAATTATTCACTCATTTCTAAGCCAATACGAGGTGGAGCTAGCAGTCGAGGCTTGGTTGAGATGAGCCGGACCCAGAAAAAGTTTGATTACACAAAAAATTTGTTTGTTTAATAAAAACACTTTTTAATATTCAGTCAGTTTTTTAATACCTTACGAACGTATTATAAAGACGTCTTTAAGACGCTCAGTTTTTGTTCAACGTCTTTAAGATGTCGTACAGCGTTTACAAGACGTCTTTACGACGTTTCTAATATCTCAAAATGACGTTTTTAAAACGTCGTTAAGACATAGTAGCGCTAGGCGGTCTGATTAGTTTCCGGCCTCAACGTGAAGATGGCAGCACAATAAAAGCTAGTGAATTTCTTTGTTCGTCTGTTGACAGCAGTGTTACCAGTTCTACCGATTTTCGTCCTGGTCTACCGAACTACCGATTTTAAAGCGAAATCTACCGAAAAGTGGACTTTTCTTTCAATTGAGTAATTTTTGTTCCCTATACAGGGTGACTTTGAAGTTGAGTCATTAATTTTCAGATAATGATTGTAGAAGGAAGATAAACCAAAATATGTGTGTAAAAATAAAAAAAAAATAAAAAAAATTTTTACCTTGTTTTATAAAGTATCCTCCCGACAAGTATTGCAGTGCGGACCTGTATTTGATCGTGAGGTCTTGGAGCACCGGCATGCCGTCCTCTGTGAGGTCTTAAGTCACTTGATTCACGAGCCCGTTGTACTACATTAACAAAGGCACGAGGGGTTGGTTGCACTCGATTGGGAAACCGATCCGCATAAACATGTGCCATTTTTTATTTCGTTTGAGCCACGCAACAGACACCACTATTCACTCACGCGTTACCGACTGACACTGACTGTATACAACTGAATAAAATAATTGTAAAAACATCGTTCCAAATTCTTTCGCTTTTTTGTTTCCGATGCGATGAACCGATAAGGCGGATTATATCCGTTGTTGCCAAACACGAGCACATAATATTATTATTGAGACAGGGCGATACTCAAACTTCCAAGGGGCTATAACTTTGTTACTTTAATTTTACCAGAAAAATGGTAAAGGAAAAAACATTTCTTTTGATCAGATCTACTCACTGTTAAAATAAATGACTCAACTTCGAAGTATGAGAGACATATTTCTGATGCATAGCGATAAAAAGAATGACACAACTACCATTATTATCCGTACTAGATCAGAATAAATTTTTAATTTTTTTCCATGACATTGGTGTGCCACATACGCTGATTCTTCGCATCTGGGGAATCACCGAAGATGCTCGATGATTTGGCTACATCGCCTAGGCTTAGCGGCTCGTGACAAGTCCATGTCTGTATTGTACGATTTGTATGATTTCGTATACTTAGTAATTCCGAATTCGGTCAGTATTAGTATTGTCTTGCAGTCACTTTTTTCGCGTGCGTGTGCCCAACATTACAAGGAAGACTGGGAAGAGTTGCCAGATTTCCAAGGCTGGCTTAAAAAAGGAATAAAGGGCCCGATTATGCGAAATGCATGGTCTGTGATAAACATATTAATATCAAAAGTGGTTAGATGGACTATACTCTGGGCGCTGAAGAAAGACATTAAACGTGAACAGTGATCAGCACGTGAACAGATCCCTAGAAAGCATCCACGGATATACTCCAGTCACTTTAGGTCTAAACATCCTCGGCAGTGTATTTCTAGTGAATCCACAGACCCTTTTCGTGTCATCTTGAGACTAGAAAAAGGATGACTGTTAAAATAAGTTACCTTGATCTTTCATGAGCTCCCAGTACAAAACATCATCGATATATTTTTGATGTAGGAACAACAAATTGGTTTAGAAAACATCCACTTTGAACCTAAATTGACTGGAGTAACATCGATCTACAGACAAATTCAAGGTCACTAGCAGTCGTCGGCGCTCTACGAATCTGCACAGGTTTGGACTTGTAAACGTGATTGTAGATGACACGACAGGCATCTAACAGTTAATTCACGCACAGGATTGCATTGCATACGCATTACGCATTCAGTAGCGTATACTCGTTTTTCGCGAGTGGAACGTTTTGTTTATATATTGCCTAAGATACGATGTCTGACACAGATACAGCCGACGAAGTGGTTGACATCAGCGCAACCCCACCCAAAAAAAGGGCTAAGAAGCTACATTTAAGTGCAAATGAAAAACAAATAATATTAAATATATACAAAAACCAAATTCAAGAAAAACCCGATTTGGTCGTGGACGAAGTTATATGTAAGGTAGCACATATTTCTGGAGTATGTCGGTCCAGTGTTTATAGGATCATTAAGGAATATAGGAGCACTCACTCACTTTCTGAGCCAAAACCGTATCCTGCAAGAAAAAGGATAACGGACGGAGTAGATGACTTTGACAGAACTGCCATCAGGAGGAAAGTGCATAATTTTTCCTTCCGAAATGAGATACCTACAGTAGATAAGATATTAAGATTAGTTAATGCTGATGAGGATCTTCCATCATTTAAAAGAACCACATTCCGAAAACTTTTGAAGGAACTTAATTTTCGATTCTTGAAACGGGGAAGAAACAGTATGTTAATAGAGAAAGAAGAAATTGTTGTGTGGAGAAGGGAATACCTTAGGAAGATTCGGAAGTTTCGCGATGAAAAAAGAAAAATTTACTATTTGGACGAAACGTGGGTGAATGCTGGACATACTCAAGCGAAAGTTTGGGTCGACAAATCAGTAACATCATCAAGGCAGGCTTTTCTAGACGGTCTTTCGGCTGGATTGAAAAATCCTGCAGGTAAGCTCCTTCATCTATCCGGCAATTTAATTTTGATAAATTCGGGCAAATAATATGCTGTGATAGCAGATAATGTGTGATATTCTCCAAAAATGGTGCATTCGCAGTGTAGTCATTAGGAAAAAACTTCGACCCTCTTTTAAGCGTTATTTTGAAATTTATTATCATTTTTGGGTGCAGTCAATTTGCTTTGAATGGGTTTTTGAGAAGTTGCAAACTTCAATTTTCTACGTTTTTCAGTTTTTGATCAGCATTCCGTGACTCTTAAATTCAGCTAAATGAACTCAATTGCCTCATTCCTTCAAATTTAATCAATCCATAGTGTAAGGAATAATTTATTTCCAGGAAAAGGCAAACGGCTGATCATTTGTCACGTAGGTAGTGAAGACGGCTTTGTTCCCGAAGCACTGTGGGCCTTTGAATAAAAAAAGACAGGGGACTATCATGAGGAGATGGACGGCAATTCCTTTGAAAATTGGTTCTCCAAAATGTTACTAAAGCTGGAGAATAACGCTGTTATTGTACTGGATAATGCCCCGTACCATTCTAGAAAAATAGAAAAAATTCCGACAATGGCAACTAAAAAAGCAAACATACAACAATGGCTGGCCTCAAAACAGATCGATTTTGATAAAACAATGGTCAAGGGTGAATTGATAAGTATAGTCAATAGACATAAATTCAAATACGATTTTAAAATGATCGACGAAATGGCCAAAAAACAAAATAAAACTGTCTTGAGACTGCCACCCTACCATTGTGAGCTGAACCCTATTGAGCTGATTTGGGCCAACATAAAGCAATACGTGGCGTCGAATAATAATACTTATAAATTTTCTGATGTTAAAAATCTCTTTCACATCGCAGTCAATAGAGTTACGGCAGAGGAATGGAAAAACTGTATCCGCCACGTTCGGGAGAAGGTTGAGGTCAAAATGTGGATTTGGACAATGTCATCGATACCCAAATTGAACCTCTAATAATTCATTTAAACGATTCAGAAGATTCAAGTTCCTCTTCTGAATGAGTGCGCGCAGCTTACTTACTAATAACTAAAAAGTGTAGTTAACTCATTTGTGAATCTCTAACTGAAATTTACTGTAAAAGATAATAATTATCTTGTATGAAATTTTTGATGACTACCCATAATATCTTGATGCGGTCCTGTAATGTCTCCTGCGCCTAAACACTCACTCACGAGCAATATGCGTGTATTTGTTTGGGTTTAGTTTCTTTCTTCAGCGCCTAGAGTTTAAGTGTTGTATCTTTGTTAGGTCGGAAACTTTTTAGACCGCCCTCGTATTTGGTAGTCATCGGGTATTGCCTGTTGTCAGACCCTACACATTATGCTTATTGGCATTTCATGGACCATCTAGACTTCAGAAAGACGCTAAGTACGACCCTGTACTCGATCTATTGCTGTTGATGGCTGCCTTTCCTTGTCGGAGGCGGTGGGGGCGGGTACGAAGGCGGTCCTCTTGGAGCTTTTTCTTCAGTGGTAGGCAGTCTGCTTACAGAAGAACCCGTACCTGGAGCTAGTATACTCACAGACTTGACACCACTTGAACCTCCAAGTAAATGCGATGGATAACCTTCAGCGATTATACCTATCGAAGGTTTACTTCTATCTGTTTTCCTTGCTTCCTCAGCGGTAGGTAGTCTGCTCACAGAGGAACCTGTACCTGGAGTGAGTATGCTCACAGTCTTGGAACTAGGAGGCATAGAGCTCGTGCCTCCGGTAGATTCGAGGGATAGCTTTCAATTATAACTTTCGAAGGCTTTGTTTCTTCCGTTTTCACGATACCCGGTAGCGAAGCATCGCTACGTTCTCCACCTTCATGATACGGAACATCGTTCGGTGCTACGATACTGACCGATTTGGCGCTTGAAACTTTCACAGACGGTGCGCTAGAAGGTATAGTCGAAACAAGCGTCTTGTTGCTACTCGGTGCTGCCGCGCTGTCAAGAGTGCTGCCCATCACCGGCAGACTGCTCGGTGAAGTACTGTCGATCGTGGGCAGAGCAGCGGGTCGTACCGAGAATCTTCTTCTCGCGTGAGCGGTCGTCTTGAAGGAGCTTCTAGCGGACGAGGTCGGCGCGAGGCCGAGTATGCCTTTAAGGTGTTCGTGAGAAGACAGCAGGTGTTCTTCGACGGGCATCAACGAGCATCTGCGACGGGCAGCTTGACGCGCTGAGCTGGGTGAAGGTGCCATCGACGGGCGTCGGATGCCCAGTTCGGCGCGACCGGGAGCTAGACCAGCCCTGGAAGAAGATTAACAGTTCAATTAAAATATTATTTACTACAAACAGCATTATTTACTACGAAGCTATAAGCTTGTGTGTATGTTACATAATATACAAATTCAATGCATGGCTAATGGTCATAAAGTGTATTATGAGCAATGTATATAAAAAAAGGAATAAAAACATTAGATAGAAACGGAATGACTTCGAGAGGATTTTATATTCTAATTTATTATACAACCTAATACTATCAAATTTTATGCATTTTTGGCAAACAGATTCATTCACTCTAGTATAAGTGTAACTTATATTTATTTTAGTTCTTGTTTCGTAAGCGTGGCTGGTTGGTACATTGTTTCTGGAGTGAACAAATTTTAGAGCAGCAAAAATATACAGGGTGTTTCAGTTTATTGTTGCATAACTTTGAGATTCGATAGAACTTTTAAAATTAATGCATACAGTCTATATAAACATCGGTCGAAAAATGCGTGGCTTCCGAATACAGGGTGTTTAAATTTACTTTCTAAATAGTTTTTTTTAAATATTTCGAACGATATTTGATGTATAATAGTGAAAATTGGTATACAAGGGTTTTTTGGTACGACAAAACGAACCATGGACATAGTTTTACTGTAGCCGCTAGAGAGCGCTCTCTACTGTACCTGTAGTGTATTAAAATGACCGAAAAATTTTTCTTAGTGCAATTTTTTGCTTTTTGAATAAACAAACTGATTCTTCGCACTTTTCAACATAAAAAAGCTCTCCTGTGAGTTTTCGTTATAGTTAGCCGTTTTCGAGATATTTCGATTTTTAAGGTTCGATGCATTTTTAATTATTTATAATAAAATAACGTTAAAAAGTCAGTATCTCGATAATTTTTAGAAGTAGGCTGTGTCTGCAAATATTTTTGAAATTGAAAGCAGAATAAGGTTAAACGTCCAATTAGTTGACAGTTAGTTTTGTTGACTGATGAAACCTGAAACGTTTTTTTTGCAATTGTGAATGCACGAAATTTCGTTTCTTTTACCTGTTTTTTTGTAAGTTTTATAAAAATGCCATTTTTATTCTCCAATCAAGAGTTAGCGGATATTCATTTTGTGTATGGCTTTGTAAATGGAAACGCAGCAGAAGCAGCCAGAGAATACGCACGAAGATTTCCAAACAGACGACATCCAACTCGCTCAGTATTTGTAAGAGTGCATCGCCAAGTAATTGAAAATGGTGTTGGAAATCTCCAAAGGGATCAAAACAGCGCAGATTTATCCGACCAGTCGCCTGGCCTCCACGATCCCCTGACCTAAATCCATTAGATTTCTTTGTGTGGGGATTTCTAAAAGAAAAAGTGTACCAGCCTCCCGTAACCACAAGAGATATGCTAATAGACAGAATCAGGAATGCATGTGATGAAATAAGGCCTTATTTGAATATACCACGTTCGATCATTCGTAGATGTGAATTGTGTATTGAACAATTGGGTTTACATTTCGAGCAACTACTTTAGATTTTGTATGTTTTTCCTAACTATCCAATAGCATTTTAGTTGTAAATAATTAATTTAATTTGTTAAAAATAATATTGAAAAATTAAACAAATTAATATTCTGTTTTTTTGTGTTTATTTGGAGTTAGGAATTATTGCTGTGTTTAAAAACACAATCTAAACGATCATCTTAATTACTTGTAATACCCAAATCGAAAATGTAAAAAAATATTATTTTCCCATAAATAATTAAAAATGCATCGAACCTTAAACATCGAAATATCTCAAAAACGGCTAACTATAACGAAAACTCACAGGAGAGCTTTTTTATGTTGAATAGTGCGAAGAATCAGTTTTTTTATTCAAAAATCAAAAAATTGCACTAAGAAAAATTTTTCGGTCATTTTAATACACTACAGGTACAGTAGAGAGCGTCCTCTAGCGGCTACAGTAAAACTATGCCCATGGTTCGTTTTGTCGTACCAAAAAACCCTTTTATACCAATTTTCACTGTTATACATCAAATATCGTTCGAAATATTTAAAAAAAACTATTTTAGAAAGTAAATTTAAACACCCTGTATTTCGGAAGCCACGCATTTTTCGACCCATGTGTATATAGACTTTATGCATTAATTTTAAAATTTCTAGCGAATCTTGAAGTTATGCAACAATAAACTGAAACACTCTGTATACAACACTATCATTCTTCCTCATTTGTTATATTGATCACTGCAAATAAAACTGTATTTTCAAAATTATAAATATTACAAAATAAAGCTATGAGAATCATTTCAAATAAAAATAATATACTAGATTAAATTTTATGCTGAAAGAACTACAATGGTTAAATATCAAAAATTTTATAGCTTACTTGGTTTTCATTTTCCTATTAAAGTTAAAAAATCATCTTCTACCAAATCACTAAGAAAACTTTATTGTATTGAACAATGAGTGCCACAATTATTCTACTAGAGGAAGTATAGACTTCTTTTACAAAACTGCACTAGCAGTATAACGAGCAAGTCAGTATTTCAAAAGGGATTGTACGAACTTAATAAATTAACGATATCAAGATGTGTCAGTTTGAAAATGCTCAAAGCGAAATTGAAAAAATATCTCATCGAAAACCAGAATTCATAGTAGTGAAATTTTGTATAAAAATGTGTAGTCTTGACGACACAATATATTTTGTGATATACTGTGTAATAAGGATATTATGGACATTGTAGCATTAATGCTAAATAAATCTGAAACAAACAAACAAAATAAAGTACGAAAATGCTTTGACATTTTCGATTGTCTCGAAAGTATGAGTGTAATAATAAATCACTCCGCTCTTATAATTTCTAGTATACTATCGAAGACAACAGAATTTCGAGCAAATAAGACATTTTGCCTTACCGAGCCATTCCGAATTTCCTTTTAGGTTGCTGCTCCCTCAGGTACGCCGTCGCATCTTCCGGTACCGCTATAGCTGACAACGCTCTGATGAAATCTGCAATGGACGTCTGCTCCAGAACTCTATCGGTCAGCATTGATGCTGGATCCGTCGGCAGGCTTGTTGGTCCAGCAGGAAGCTTCGTGCCGTCAGGGGTTAGCGATGTTGGTTTCGCTATGAACTGGTTTTCGAGGTTTTGTCTTTCCACGTCCATTGAGACCAGTTGCTTCTCGTCCTTGTTTCTAATGTTGAACCTGGAATGAAATCGTTGAATCGATAATATTTGATATCTATTTTAGTTAATTAAGTCTGTTTTCTTTGCGCTTTTTTAATATGTTCAACTGCTGGACAACAAAGGTATATCATTATACCGTTATTTTTATTCGTATTCCAACAACCATTGCTGCTATGACTATACTATAACTATCTAAAACTGTAATGACTCATCGATATTCACGTGAACATCACTTAACTACCAGTAGTCGGCTGTTCATAGGCGGGGTATGAATGTTTAACATGGGTGAACTAGATTTGTCATATGGTTAATAAAGAGTGGTTTGAAACATATTGTAAGTCAACAATTTTTGAATTACCTTTATTCATCGTCGCTTCCACTTACATCTGACAGTAATAAACTGTCGCTATCGCTTTCCTCGTTGAAATTGACTATAACTGGCTCTATGATGGTGTCGATGTGGTGGTCAAGCTGCCACATTTTTGTTTCTTCCTTCACAACGTGACGGATAGCATTCTGCCAAGCTTCGGGCGTTACTAGCTGTATGGAAGTCTCAAGTAAAACCTTAACGTCTGGTAATTTGAAGGTTGTGTTATGGCGCGCAATATAACCCTTCACTTGAGCCCAGATGAGCTCTATTGGGTTCAGTTCACAGTGGTAGGGCGGTAACCGCAGCACAGTGACACCACATTGACGGGCCATCTCATCAGTCACGTAACTAATGTTCGCAGATTTGTGCTGTTTAATTTTTTCATACAATTTCGCTTTCACACATGAATCGTCAACGGGATTCCTTTTTCGCGCAACCATTGCTGCATGTCACTTTTTCGAGATCCCATAGTCGGTACACGTTCGGCTCGACGACTATGGTAGGAAGCGTTATCCATGACGATCACAGAGTTGGGCTCAACTCGCTGAAGCACCCCTTGAAACCAGCTCTCGAAGCAGCTGGCATTCATTTCGTCATGGTAATCACCTCCTTTCTTAGAGACGAAAATCAAGTCACACTCTTCTAAAGAGCCACTATCGCTACCAATATGAGTTACGATCAATCTTTGACGTTTCCCTGACGGTCCACGAAGACCTGTTGACAAACCTTCAATGCTTGCTTGTCGGTTACTCACTACGTTTTTGTCTATCCAGGTTTTTTTTAACTGTGTGACCTGCATTTACCCATGTCTCGTTCAAATAATAGATTTTTCTGCTTTGTCGCCTATATTCAATCATTTCGCGTAGGTATTTTCGACGCCAGGCGACTATTTCAGGTCTCTCTATCAATACTGACTTCCGATTACGCGTTTCGTAACGAAAATTAATTTCGTGCATTTGGGGTATAATTTCATTTTCCTTGATCGCTGCATGTACAGCCTTCAGGGTTGGTATCTCATTCCTAAAGAAGAATGAATGTACGGTTCGCCTTAACGCCATTTTGCTATCGTCATCCAATTTAACGGCCGTTCGTCCCTTCAAATTAAACTTGGATCAGTAGTAGCTCCAGTTTTCTTCTTTTCATGTACCACCCTGCGAATGGTCCACTCTGGAATGCCTGTCATACTTTCACAACGCGCGAGTGCATCTCCCTGCGACATAGTTCTGTTCAGATAATTGAACACGTTGAGCACGATTTCTTTCGCGTCCCTCTTCAGTGCTTTACGAAACCGTCTACTTGTTCCGTGGCTTTCAGTACTTCCACTCGTGCCATTTGTACTCTCCATGGTTAAGTATAACTAAAACAATAACCACAGAAACCACAACAATTCTTATAAAAACACACAATATGCGATCGCTCAACGAAACACGTTCCAATGCGTTGCCGACGCTTATGAGTCTGCCGGTCGAGGCGCGTCTTTGATTTCATTGGTTCTACCGGCGGAGAACAATCAGCCATTATTTCCATCTCTGTCTGTGCTGTTGACCACCGCAAAGCCACAGAAACGACATATGTCGTACGCTATATGGCTGTACTGGAAGGAAGCCGGGATCGAGCTCTGATCACGTGTTGATCACGCGTATGAGTCATTACAGTTTTAAATAGTTGTAGTATAGGAGTATCAACCCCAATACAGTCTAACTATAATTACGATATAAGGACAAAGCTTGACATAGAAAGTGATGAAAATCAACTCGGTAGTCTCTTTACCTGTTCTTGAGGCGTTTCAGTAACGAGGGTCCCTCCAACTTGGCCGCAGCCAGTGAGAACGCTCTAGCTCTTCGCTGTTTGCTGAACTCCAGGCTGGCTTTGGTAGCATCGGCGCCGTACCAAGTGTAGCCTCCGCCAGGCTTGGAGTCTACCGCAGGCATCGGAGTTGATGGTAGAGAATCGCTGGCTGCTCGGCGTCTACCTCGAGGAGCAACGTTCTCGCTGGCTAGGATGTCTTGGTCAGAGAAGCAGTTTATGCCTCCTACAGATAAAAAATAGTATTGAGAAAACTGATGCATGTTTTCAGCTAGATACCGAATGTACCGAAGGCTCAGACGAAATGAAGTATCTAACGGGTGATTTTTTAAGAGGTATAGGATTTGATTTTCAAAAAAAAAACACAAAACATTTGAAAAAATGATTAAATCTTTATTTGAGTCGATAGAACGGTCGATATAATTTAATGTTTAAAGATTATTTCATGTAAATGTTGGCCGCGGCTCCGCTTTAGATAGCCCATGCGCAAGGTCCAATTTTGGCACATTCTCTCCAACATATCGGCCGGTATCTCACGAATAAATGCTTCAATATTGGCTTCCAGTGCGTCAATCGTTGCTGGTTTATCCTTGTAGACATTAGCCTTAACATGGCCCCACAAGAAATTGTCCAACAGCGTTAAATCACACGATTTAGGCGGCCAATTGACGGGCCCCAAACTGTTCACCGAACTCGCCTCTCAATAGGGCCATTGTTTCGTGTGCGGTGCGGCATGTGGCACCGTCTTGTTGAAACCACATGTCAGCCAAGTCCAGCTCTTCCATTTTGGGCAAAAAAAAGTTTGTTATCATCGCACGGTAGCGCTCGCCATTCACAGTTACGTTCCGGCCATTGTCGTCTTTGAAGAAGTACGGCCAGATGATGCCACCGGCCCATAATCCACACCAAACAGTGATTTTTTCGGGACGCATTGGTAGCTCTTGCAATGCTTCTGGCTGGTCTTCACTCCAGATGCGGCAATTTTGCTTGTTAACGTACCCATTCAACCAGAAATGAGCTTCGTCGCTGAACACAATTTTTCGATAAAAATGTGGATCTTCCTCCAACTTTTCCAGCGCCCATTCACCATATTGGAAACGTTGTGGAAGGTCGAATGGCTTCAATTCTTGCACTAGCTGTATCTTATAAGGTTTTACACCCAAATCCTGTCGCAAATTTTCCACGTAGTGGAGTAACAGAGGCTCAGTTGCTGCGAACGGCTTCCGCCTTTTGTTGGGTACTTCGACAAAATTTAAGCAAAGAGGACTCTTTATACTATTTTTAATTCTCTCTAGCTTTCAATGGACTTTGCCATCATCATCAGGAGCTGCAATTACAATGATAACAGTAGCAACAAAAGTGTAAAATGAATTTAAATTGAATCAACTTACAGTAGTATGTGAGAATGTTGCTAATTGTTGTTTTCGTATAGGATGAGGGAAACGTCCAGTAACATGGTGAGAGCTGGATACATGGTACAATGGTTAAAATTATATAAAATATGACAAGACAAGTTAAAGACAGATTAAAAATTATTTAGAGAACATTAGAGCATTACGTCGTGAAGCCACTTGATGATTGAACAAAATGGTGGTCATAGAATAATGAGTGAGATGAACCTTTGACAGAAGGCCGAAGGTTGTTAATGTCTGTGTTGAAAGATGGAACGAATTGTGGGCGTGTGCCAAAACGTTGCCAAATCACTTCAGATGATGTGATTTTCAGAATGTTATGTAAGAAATTGTTAAACCGACCAGTGGCAGTTGAATAAACTATATTTTAATTAATGGGAATTTTAAATTAACAATTATTAATAAATCGTGAGAAGAGAATATATATATATATATATATTTATGGTTCCAGGAAGATGGAATTTATCCTGAGGCTGGATTTCGCAATGACTTATTGCTCAGTAGATTTAATATGGTAAATTTATCTAAGCGCAGAAATTACTGCGCTGTGGTTTTCTTATATAAAATTTTGAACAACACAGTTGATTGCCAGTTTCTTTTAGAAAAGCTGTCATTACACGTACCGTACCGAAACATAAGGTTTAACAGTACCAATTTCTATTTACCTGTGCCTTGTACCAATGTGTTACTTTTTTCGCCATTATATGTATTGTGTAACAACTATGAAAAAGTAAAGAATTTAGTAGACATTTTTCGTTTTTGACTGTAGGTTAAGAACTTATTTAGATATAATGTGTGTAATGTACTTGATACGTTGTTTATTGGTTTTTTTTCTTTTTGTATATTGTATATTTCCTGTTCGTTAAATGGAATCATCTGTTCGAGCAGTGTACTAATCGCAAATAAATAAATAAAAAAAATAAATTTCACGGTCATCACTAACACTGGCGGATACAGCCGCAATATTTTCTTCAGTCCTCACTCTATGTCTGCGTGTTGGTGGTTTAATGTCCAATAATGTAAACTGGGTTCGAAATTTAGTCACAAGCTTCCGAATAGCTCCCTCAGTAGGCCGACCAAATTGACCATAAATTGGAAGCAGTGCTCGGTGCACACTCTTAAGCGAGCATGAATTTTGATAGTAAAATTTAATAATTTGCAAGCGTTGTTCGTTCGTAAGTCGATTCATGGTTAAATTATAGACCAAACTGAACAAGTTTGACAATGACACAAGACACGATTCACGCGTCATCTGTCAAAAACAGTGTTGCCAAAAAGATACTAGCAAAAAAATCACCCTATATATAAAAGAGTGTTTTAAAAATGGTGGATGCCACTAACAATTTTGTTTCATAAATACAGGGGAAACAAGATGACTATCAAAAAGTTCTGACCTTCAGTTCAGTAGTTTTGAAGATTTATTGATTTAAAGCTTAAAGTAGACTTTAACAGGTACATCAGATTAGTTGGTACTACTTAATAAGTAAATGCTTTTCTTCACTACGCCCATGGGTTGTTTATCATTTTGTTGTTGAAAATAGCTATTTTTTTCTGACAAAAAAGTTATTTCTTGAAGAAAGATAAGGAAATATCTCGTACTTATGTTAAATAGGAATTTAGTACATACTAAGTGACATATAAATCCGAACACCCAGTTTAAATGGTTTTATTTTAATAAAAGTTGGTGAATGTATTTATCTTATTGTAAATAACAAGTGAAAAAATGTACAGTCTTATCAGTTGGACATTCCGGTTTTTATACTGCTTTTTTTTAATTCACTAACGCTCTAAAAATGAATATTTCAGCCGCGGTAAAGAATCAACGTTGGCGGATTTTGGTTCTTGACATCCTTTACGATCGGTTACGATGCCTAGAGTACGGAGACCTGTACCATTTCGTCAACTTAGTGAGTTTGATAGGGGCCGTATAATGGGACTTCGGGAAGCTGGACTTTCTTTTCGGGCAATTGCAGTTAGAGTGCAAAGAAGTGTAGACACTGTGGTTAGGTGTTGTCAGGAATGGCTTCGAGAAGGCCGTACGCAAAGAGCAAGGGGCACTGGACGCCGCCGTAGAACAACAGACCGTGAAGATCGCCGCCTAAGATTATTGGCCTTAAGGGACCGTTTCTCCACTACCAGGTCCATTGCAAATGAATGGTTTGCAGAACACGGAAGACCTATTGGCATGCGAAGTGTTTACCGACGAATGAGAAGTTTTGGCTTGTTTTCATACCGGCCACACTGGGTCCTCCCTTTAACTCGAGAACACCGACGTAATCGCATTGAGTGGTGCAGACAACGGTCACTCTGGGATCAGGAATGGAACAGTATTGTCTTTAGTGACGAGTCTCGATTTTGTTTAGGCATGCACGTTGGTCGTGCCAGGGTTAGAAGGCGACGTGGTGAAAGGAGGAATCCACAGTTTTTTGTTGAAGGACATGTTCATCACACTGTTGGAGTTATGGTTTGAGGTGCTATAGCTCATGGTTCCAGGTCACCTTTAATCTTCATCAGAGGTAACATGAACGCGCAGCGTTATATCCACGAAGTTCTAGAACCCCATCTTTTACCCTATCTTGACACCCTGGTAGATCCAACTTTCCAACAAGATAATGCCCGACCACATGTTGCAAGAGTCACAATAGACTTCTTTCAACATAATGATGTCACATTGTTACCATGGCCACCAAGATCTCTCGACTTATCCCCAATTGAGCACGTGTGGGATATGATGGGTAGGAGATTGCTCAACTCGCAACGTCCTCCTCAGACTCTAGAAGCACTTCGAGAGGAGTTGGTGGTTGCCTGGAAAGAGATACCACAGGAGGACATTGACCACCTGATCAGAAGCATGCCTAGGCGCGTTGGAGAATGCGTAGCACATCAGGGTGCATCCACACATTAGTAAAGGTCAAAGGGCTTTAAAGCAGTGCAATTATTTTGAAATTTTTATCATTTACTTATTATGCTTCATTAAGTACTTATACAAAATTTTATTAAAATAAAACCATTTAAACTGGGTGTTCGGATTTATATGTCACTTAGTATATTTCTGCTGTTCTATTAGCGCACTGATCATTTCCGAAAAATATTTCGATAATTTCAACTCTTTCTGCTGTGGAATATACCATGGTTAATTTAGGTAGTAAAGCGTTACAAGTTATTTTAGCAACAAAGATTGGTCAAATCAATCGCAAACTATGTACTAAATTCCTATTTAAAATAAGTACGAGATATTTCCTTATCTTTCTTCAAGAAATAACCTTTATGTCCACAAAAAACGCTCTATTTTAAACAACAAAATGATAAATAGACCATGGGCGTAGTGAAGAAAAGCATTTACTTATTAAGTAAATTCTTTTAGTCAAATTTCTTCTGAAAGTAGTACAAACTAATCTGATGTACCTATTAAAGTCTACCTTGAGCTTTAAATCAATAAATCTTCAAAACTACTGAACTGAAGCTCATATATTTTACATCATTATAAAGGGAATTGAAAGACCTTTAAAATAAGGTATCACTCGACCCCCCTTTCCATTTAAGATTTTAGGGTTGGTGTCACCCACGCCCTGGGGGCTGCACATGTTAACGTGATTTTTTGCCAAACTTGTGTCCCGCTCGAAAACAAAATCGACGGGTCTGAGCGTTTTTCCTAAAAAAAACTGAGCTGCCAATAAATGCGTCTGTTTCGTTTTCGATGCGCCACCCTGTATAACTTATTTTAAATAGAAGATCCAAAGAAAATTGTTCAACATTTGAATGTTCATGCAAAAATTCAATATTTAGACTCTCAGTGGATTTCTTCGCTGACCGCGTGACAACATCGCTTACAGTTTTCTACTGCCTTCCAATTTGGAACCGAACTATGCAAAGATATTTTATAATTTTCAACCGTCTGTGCTATATTATTTTACTCTTGCGTCATTCCTGCTCTTAGAACGAAATATTGCTTGAACAAAATTGTCAGAAAAACAGAATTTAGTATTGAGAAGTTTAAATCGCTTACCATCATCAAACCGCTGCGAACTTAGAGCATCCACAACTTTAAGTATAAGGTCCTTTTGCTGCATAAACGCATCCGACGGTTTGAACGTCCTCTCTTTGTCGATCTTCTCAAGTTCCGTTTCGGACTGCATCTTAGTAGCGATGGTGGGCGTTATGAATGCCGTCGGGAGCGGGTAGCATGCAGACATTGCTCGTTTCCTCTTGGAATTCGGAGATTCGTCAGGATGGTCGTCTAGTCCCAATAGTCGGAGCTCTGGACAACTCTGGCTGCGTTCTATCACGTGAGGGATGTATTCGAATTCACCTGCAAGTGTAAAAAAAAACAATATGAGACAACATATTTAATATGATTTTGGAGGTGTTTGCGTTTTCAAAATTACTCCATTCTGTTCTGACACCGACGACTTCTAAGGAGCTCTTCGTATCCGTCTTGTGAATGCTTATCACTCTGTATCTTGTTAAAGAATTATTCTATGATTTCAAAGACACGTTTGGATTACTATCAACCCTTTTTTGTTTACTTAAACTATACTGGGTATTTCTTAATAACTGTCCAATATTTTTTGTTTCCAAAGCAAGCTGAATTGAATAGGATTAGGGTATCATATTTATCACAGCTTATTTTGACAATTTTTTTTCAATACAAATATAGAAATGTTTTATTTACCTTTATATACCGGCTTGACTCGCATGAACAGTAATTCGTGCAGTAAGCTCCTAAGTTCGTTCCTTATCCTCTGCGGCGTTTTCCTTATATTATCGGCCAGCATTTTCTCTATCTGCACCAACTTTCGACTGCGCATGCCTTGAGTAATGAATCCAATCACCATCACCACATACCCTAGACCGCCTATGATCCAAACCAGTAGAAATACTTGATAGCAGTAACGAACCATCGGGCTGAAACCGGTTTCGTCTTTGAGATCACCTGTCAGTAAAAAATGTTAGAAGTTAGTCCTTCTAAGAGTAAAAAAAAACTAGCCACAAACGTGTATTACAAAAACTAAGAGCGTACTAACGGATATTCATTATCGGCTTCATGACGATCGTTTCATCCAATGCTGGATCATACCGAATAACGCTGTCCTCCTTTATTTGACACAAAACGAAACATTTTTGAATGTATTCCGAGCTTTGAGAATGTCTAAAATTACCGAACTATAAAGCTGTTAGACGGGGTATTGTAGGTATGAACATATTACAAAACTAAGTGCGTGCTAGCGGATCGTCTAAAATGTGTTATTTTCGGCTGCATGACGATCGTTTCATCCAATATTGGATCCTACCGAATAACGCTGACCTTTTTTGTACACAAAAATAAACATTTTTGAATATATTCCGAGCTTTAAGAATGTCTAAACTGACCGAACTATAACTCTATTAGGCGGGGTATTGTAGGTATGAACATATTGCAAAACTAAGTGCGTGCTAGCGGATCGTCTAAAATGTGTTATTTTCGGCTGCATGACGATCGTTTCATCCAATATTGGATCCTACCGAATAACGCTGACCTTTTTTGGACACAAAAATACATTTTTGAATATATTCCGAGCTTTAAGAGTGTCTAAAATTACCGAACTATAACGCTATTAGGCGGGGTATTGTAGGTATGAACATATTACAAAACTAAGTGCGTGCTAGCGGATCGTCTAAAATGTGTTATTTTCGGCTGCATGACGATCGTTTCATCCAATATTGGATCCTACCGAATAACGCTGACTTTTTTGGACACAAAAATAAACATTTTTGAATATATTCCGAGCTTTAAGAATGTCTAAAATTACCGAACTATAACGCTATTAGGCGGGGTATTGTAGGTATGAACATATTACAAAACTAAGTGCGTGCTAGCGGATCGTCTAAAATGTGTTATTTTAGGCTGCATGACGACCGTTTCATCCAATATTGGATCCTACCGAATAACGCTGACCTTTTTTGGACACAAAAATAAACATTTTTGAATATATTCCGAGCTTTAAGAATGTCTAAAATTACCGAACTATAACGCTATTAGGCGGGGTATTGTAGGTATGAACATATTACAAAACTAAGTACGTGCTAGCGGACAGTCTAAAATGTGTTATTTTCGGCTGCATGACGATCGTTTCATCCAATATTGGATCCTACCGAATAACGCTGACCTTTTTTTGACACAAAAATAAACATTTTTGAATATATTCCGAGCTTTAAGAGTGTCTAAAATTACCGAACTATAACGCTATTAGGCGGGGTATTGTAGGTATGAACATATTACAAAACTAAGTGCGTGCTAGCGGATCGTCTAAAATGTGTTATTTTCGGCTGCATGACGATCGTTTCATCCAATATTGGATCCTACCGAATAACGCTGACCTTTTTTGGACACAAAAATAAACATTTTTGAATATATTCCGAGCTTTAAGAATGTCTAAAATTACCGAACTATAACGCTATTAGGCGGGGTATTGTAGGTATGAACATATTGCAAAACTAAGTGCGTGCTACCGGATCGTCTAAAATGTGTTATTTTAGGCTGCATGACGACCGTTTCATCCAATATTGGATCCTACCGAATAACGCTGACCTTTTTTGGACACAAAAATAAACATTTTTGAATATATTCCGAGCTTTAAGAATGTCTAAAATTACCGAACTATAACGCTATTAGGCGGGGTATTGTAGGTATGAACAAATTACAAAACTAAGTGCGTGCTAGCGGATCGTCTAAAATGTGTTATTTTCGGCTGCATGACGATCGTTTCATCCAATATTGGATCCTACCGAATAACGCTGACCTTTTTTGGACACAAAAATAAACATTGTTGAATATATTCCGAGCTTTAAGAATGTCTAAAATTACCGAACTATAACGCTATTAGGCGGGGTATTGTAGGTATGAACATATTACAAAACTAAGTGCGTGCTAGCGGATCGTCTAAAATGTGTTATTTTCGGCTGCATGGCGATCGTTTCATCCAATATTGGATCCTACCGAATAACGCTGACCTTTTTTGGACACAAAAATAAACATTTTTGAATATATTCCGAGCTTTAAGAATGTTTAAAATTACCGAACTATAACGCTATTAGGCGGGGTATTGTAGGTATGAACATATTACAAAATTAAGTACGTGCTAGCGGATCGTGTAAAACGTGTCATTTTCGGCTTAATGACGACCGTTTTATCCAATATTGGATCATAGCGAATTACGCTGTCCTCCTTTTTTGGACACAGAAATAAACATTTCTGAATATGTTTCGAGCTTTAAGAATGTCTAAAATTACAGAACTATAACGCTGTTAGACGGGGTATTGTATGTATGAACATATTACAAAACTAAGTACGTGCTAGCGGATCGTGTAAAACGTGTCATTTTCGGCTTAATGACGATCGTTTTATCCAATATTGGATCATAGCGAATTACGCTGTCCTCCTTTTTTGGACACAGAAATAAACATTTCTGAATATATTCCGAGCTTTAGGAATGTCTAAAATTACAGAACTATAACGCTATTAGGCGGGGTATTGTAGGTATGAACATATTGCAAAACTAAGTGCGTGCTAGCGGATCGTCTAAAATGTGTTATTTTCGGCTGCATGACGATCGTTTCATCCAATATTGGATCCTACCGAATAACGCTGACCTTTTTTGGACACAAAAAAAAAACATTTTTGAATATATTCCGAGCTTTAAGAATGTCTAAAATGACCGATTTATAACGCTGTTAGGCAGGGTATTGTAGGTATGAACATATTACAAAACTAAGTGCGTGCTAGCGGATCGTGTAAAATGTGTTATTTTCGGCTGCATCACGATCGTTTCATCCAATATTGGATCCTACCGAATAACGCTGACTTTTTTTGGACACAAAAATAAACATTTTTGAATATATTCCGAGCTTTAAGAATGTCTAAAATTACGGAACTATAACGCTATTAGGCGGGGTATTGTAGGTATGAACATATTACAATACTAAGTGCGTGCTAGCGGATCATCCAAAATGTGTTATTTTCGGCTGCATGACGATCGTTTCATCCAATATTGGATCCTATCGAATAACGCTGACCTTTTCTGGACACAAAAATAAACATTTTTGAATATATCCCAAGCGTTAAGAATGACTATAATTACCGAATTACAACGCTGTTAGACGGGGTATTGTAGGGATGAACATATTACAAAACTAAGTTTTAGAGTCAAATGCTTACCTGCTACAAAGTCACCAAATCCTATCGTAGTGAGTGTGACGAAGGAATAGTAGAGGGCGACATCGTAGTCCCACCTTTCAAATACGCTGATGATAGTTGAAGGTAAGAAGATGAAAAATGTCAACCCTGGAACTGCATATAGGACAATCTGGCCTATCAGTCCAAGCTTTGCTGCACTCCGTTTAATTCTGGTGTTCTTCCAACGTACATATAGTTTTTTGAACTGAAAATTATTAAATTACGTAAAAACCCGAAAAACCTAGAACACGGGTCTGATGAAGGCACAGGGTACTCACATTTATACTATTTTCTTTTATTCGTAGCGTTATTCAAAATTCAACTGATATGAATATTTTCAACCCAATTGTCAGACTGTATCTGTCAATGCCCAACGGTACGATGCATACTGTAAATACCCAGAATATACTTACGCTGTCGGAGTTTCCCATTAACAGAGAGCGTTGGAATAAGAATTTGATTAGAATATGGAATAGGCTGAACATATACAACATGAATAATAATATGCTGCGTACCTAGATAGAGAAATCAAGTATTATGGGACGTGTAGTTTCATGGAACGAGTTTCTTTTTACAGGACTAGCTTTCAAGTGAAATAGAGAAGAAATAATTGTTTCTATTTTTGAACTTGATTGTTCTTTGAAAGTTCAAACTTTGCAATTTTGGCGTTGTGTTCCTATGGAATTTTTGGACTCAATTACGTCAGTATTCCACGTATATGGTATTGTTTCTATTTTTAAACTTGATTGCTCTTTGAAAGTCCAAAGTTTGGAATTTTGGCGTTTTGTACAGCATTAAGTTAATCGCATCTATGGCATTTTTGGACTCAATTATTCCAGCATTCCATGTATTTCAAACTTCCATCAATATATGCCATTGTTTTTATTTTGAAGTTGATTGTCCTTTGAAAGTCCAAAGTTCGCAATTTTGGCATTTTCTCCAAATCGCATCTATGAAATTTTTGGACTCAGTTATTCCAGTATTCCATGTATTTCAAACTTTCGTCAGTATATTTTTTGTATTTTTGTACTTGATTATTCTTTGAAAGTCCAAAGTTTGCAATTTTGGCGTTTTGTCCAATATTAAGTTAATCGCATCTATGAAATTTTTGGGCTCAATTATTCCAGTATTCCTTGTATTTTAAACTTCCGTCAATATATGTTTCTATTTTTTAACTTGATTGTTCTTTGAAAGTCCAAAGTTTGCAATTTTGGCGTTTTGTACAACATTAAGTTAATCGCATCTATGGAATTTTTGCACTCAATTATTCCAGCATTCCATGTATTTCAAACTTCCATCAATATATGCCATTGTTTTTATTTTTGAACTTGATTGTCCTTTGAAAGTCCAAAGTTCGCAATTTTGGCATTTTTTTCCAAATCGCATCTATGAAATTTTTGGACTCAATTATTCCAGTATTCCATGTATCTCAAACTTTCATCAGTATATTTTTTGTATTTTTGTACTTGATTATTCTTTGAAAGTCCAAAGTTCGCAATCTTGGCGTTTTGTCCAATATTAAGTTAATGGCATCTTTGAAATTTTTGGACTCAATTATTCCATTATTCCTTGTATTTTAAACTTCCATCAGAATGTTTTTTCTATTTTTGTACTTGATTGTTCTTTGAAAGTCCAAAGTTTGTAATTTTGGCGTTTTGTACAACATTAAGTTAATCGCATCTATGAAATTTTTGGACTCAATTATTCCAGTATTTCTTGTATTTTAAATTTCCATCAGAATGTTTTTTCTATTTTTGTACTTGATTGTTCTTTGAAAGTCCAAAGTTTGCAATTTTGACGTTTTGTACAACATTAAGTTAATCGCATCTATGGAACTTTTGGACTCAATTATTCCAGCGTTCCATGTATTTCAAACTTCCACCAATATATGCCATTGTTTTTATTTTTGAACTTGATTGTCCTTTGAAAGTCCAAAGTTCGCAATTTTGGCATTTTTCTCCAAATCGCATCTATGAAATTTTTGGACTCAATTACTCCAGTATTCGATGTATCTCAAACTTTCATCAGTATATTTTTTGTATTTTTGTACTTGATTATTCTTTGAAAGTCCAAAGTTCGCAATCTTGGCGTTTTGTCCAATATTAAGTTAATGGCATCTATGAAATTTTTGGACTCAATTATTCCATTATTCCTTGTATTTTAAACTTCCATCAGAATGTTTTTTCTATTTTTGTACTTGATTGTTCTTTGAAAGTCCAAAGTTTGCAATTTTGGCGTTTTGTACAACATTAAGTTAATCGCATCTATGGAACTTTTGGACTCAATTATTCCAGGATTTCATGTATTTCAAACTTCCGTCAATATATGGTATTGTTTCTATTTTTGAACTTGATTGTTCTTTGAAAGTCCAAAGTTTGCAATTTTGGCGTTTTGTACAACATTAAGTTAATCGCATCTATGGAATTTTTGGACTCAATTATTTCAGCATTCCATGTATTTCAAACTTCCATCAATATATGCCATTGTTTTTATTTTTGAACTTGATTGTCCTTTGAAAGTCCAAAGTTCGCAATTTTGGCATTTTTCTCCAAATCGCATCTATGAAATTTTTGACTCAATTATTGCAGTATTCCATGTATCTCAAACTTTCATCAGTATATTTTTTGTGTTTTTGTACTATGATTATTCTTTGAAAGTCCAAAGTTCGCAATCTTGGCGATTTGTCCAATATTAAGTTAATCGCATCTATGAAATTTTTGGACTCAATTATTCCAGTATTCCTTGTATTTTAAACTTCCATCAGAATGTTTTTTCTATTTTTGTACTTGATTGTTCTTTGATAGTCCAAAGTTTGCAATTTTGGCGTTTGTACAACATTAAGTTAATCGCATCTATGGAATTTTTGGACTCAATTATTCCAGCATTCCATGTATTTCAAACTTCCGTCAATATATGGTATTGTTTCTATTTTTGAACTTGATTGTTCTTTGAAAGTCCAAAGTTTGCAATTTTGGCGTTTTGTAAAACATTAAGTTAATCGCATCTATGAAATTTTTGGACTCAATTATTCCAGTATTCCATGTATTTTAAACTTCCGTCAATATATGGCATTGTTTCTATTTTTGAACTTGATTGTCCTTTGATTGAAAGTCCAGAGTTCGCAATTTTGACATTTTTCTCCAAATCGCATCTATAAAATTTTTGGACTCAATTATTTCAGTATTTCTTGCATTTTAAACTTCCATCAATATATTTTTTCTGTTTTTGTACTTGATTGTTCTTTAAATGTCCAAAGTTCGTAAATTTGGCGTTTTTGTACAACATTAAGTTAATCGCATCTATGAAATTTTTGGACTCAATTATTCCAGTATTTCATGTATTTTAAACCTTTATCATTTTTGTACATGATTGTTCATTACCAGTCCAAATTCGCAATTTTTACATTGTTTTTCAACATTTATGCATTTCCGAGTATTTTACTTTATTTATTTAATATTTTTATATGAGCACATGGTAGCGACACTTTCTACTTTATATCTATAATAAAGCACATCGAGACGCAAAACATGTATAACCAGTGCCGTAGAAAGTATATATGGAAGGGTTGCGTCTTTGCCCCCAATAAAAACAAAAGTTGACATCTCATTATAATTGTGTATTCACTTCACTTCAAGTTTTGCTTTCACTGAAAGTGCAGTGGCGCAACATACTGAGGAGGAGATGGAAGCAGAGAGTACAAATTTCACCAGTGCAGAGCGGAATGGAGTATAGTGCAGTCAGTTTTGCAACATAAGAATTAGTCATACATAAATAGTGGTGTATATAAATGTTCTATCAAGTTAAATAAATTAGTGTATTTGTTTTTGTGGAAACCAGTGTTTTAATCTACACCCAAAAGAACCCAGAAAAATGCTACAATACATATGTTTTGTGTCTCAGTATACTTTATTATAGATTTGAAGTAGCTGCTCAAAAAAATTTGGGTGTTCGAAAATATGAGAATTTTGAAAATAAAATGTCAACGTTGCAATCTTTGGGCTTATAAAGAAATACGAAGTGCTGACATAAAAACAAAAATATTGATGGATGAACTTTTGAATTGTTTTGAGCGATTTTTGATTTATTTCTCTTCAAAGTTTTGACTTACTCAGATGCGCATATAATATGTATAAAAATAAAACAGTATCTATTCATCGTCTTACCGATTTTCCGAAGTATTCTCCTAATGTCACCATGACGATGCCATTCATGGGAATACCTATCAGTCCATATAGGATCATAAAAATCCGGGTTGTAGCGGTTGTAGGAACTAAATTACCATAACCTGAAAGAAACGTTATTCATTAAGCACGAGCTTGTAATTACTGTATTATAGTTAGATTGCTAGATATGGATACATGAATATGCATCGATGATAGCACTAAGTCAATTCATCACATCTGATCCAAATTTTTATGCATGCATTTATCTGCAGTTCTCAGTATATTACCATGTTCTGTATGGCAAACAACTTATGTTTGTTCTTCAATTTTTTCTTCGTCTAATAGGGTCAAGATCCACAAAGTTTTCAAAACTATGTGAAATTGGTTTGGAAGCACAATTGATGGAGTTATTTAATGAAGGTTTTCTTTGATATGAGGCTATTATATTACATCCCGATTTCGGAGATACGACCTTTAAATAGGAAAATGCTGCTGTACAGACAAGATAAAAACCTCTTCTAGGCAACCCTTGGACAGGCATCGCAAGGAGGCCTGAAGCCTCTTGGCTGCTTACCCTTGCTGCAATCTGGAATACAAATGATAAATAAATTTCCATATACTGGCATTCTAACTATATACTTAAAACATTAAAACTAATCAGACAAAGCTGGGTACATTTGCGTTGCTCGGGATTTGGAGAAACTTTTCAAAAGGTGCAGTTTGTGGCGAGATGTTGTTGATGCGTTTTTCTCATTTTTTTTTACGTCCTCCATACATTTCGCAGTCTAACTTCTCGCCGAGAGTTAGAGTCATGAAACGCACATACCACTTTGTATGCCGCGTCTTAAATATGGTGAATGTGCACTTCTCACAACAAGCTACATACAGGGAAAATCAAATGACGGCTAGTCAGTTAGGGGACGTCCATTGTGGAGCCTTTGAGTCGGTAATAATCGTTCGATCCCGACACGTAAGTGTGTGTGTGTGTGTAAGTATAGTCCGAAATTTTTTAGAAAAGAGTACCTTGTAATCCGACACATTACATATACAATGGTAAGATTATGTATGCATATATGTTATGTATATTTATGTACTTTGAAGTACAAATCATACATAGTTTATGTATGTCGAATTTAGTAAATTAAATAACAATAGAGAGCTTACGTTTTATTATAAAATTAAGCATAAATGCACATACATATGTACCAAAATAATCAAGAATTATTAATCAAAATCAGTAATGAATTTATCAAATTATGAAGCTTGGAAATATTCATCAATTTCTCAAAAGTAAAAGTTCGTTGTAGGATGTACGATTGTCTTCAGCCCATTGTAAACCTAGCTAAAAGCCGTTAATTGCGTCTTGTGCTATGACTTGTGGAGCAGTAGCAATCACGTCGTCGTTATTTTCCTGACTGTTTGTTGTATAATTAGAAATCTCTTTTATAATCTCTTCGTCAGACATTTCATGAAAAACATTTTGCTTTTTATCCATTCCACGGCACCCGATTCCAAATCTTCCGGACTTGTTGTGTTTCAGTAGCGACTTGTTCTATAACTTCCGAAGTAACACTGATCTGTGGAACGTTGCTAGGAGTGGTGACTATATCTGGCCATAACTTTTTCCAAGACGATTTAATAGTTGATGACGGTAACGTATTCCACGACTGACAAAGAGTAAAACAATGCTTACGCGTCGAGCACGATAGCGGTGGCGCGTACAAGTTGTAACCTGTTCAAATCTGCGTGATCTACATTAGCGAAGATTGTCAAATACGTATGTATGTAATACATATTCAAAGACATGTCGGATTACACGGGGCGCCGGATTAGACAGGGCCGGATTATCGGGGGTCCACTGTATTTTTTTCTGGATTTAACGTCGGCTTGCCGGTTCTCTACAGCGCGATTTTGTATCCCAAAGTGGATAATTTCGCTTATCGATGAGCAGACAGCCGACGCATCCGCCTTATTGAAACAAACATCTCTCCAAGAAAAGGTGGAGAAGAAGTCTCTGAGCCCCGCACAGTCGCCATCTCAAGCTAGCTATGCTTGGCTCCGAGAAGCTGTTAGCGTTTGTGGAACGGGGTGATTTTTCTCCGGATCGTATCTTCAATGGGCGAGAGATACAGGAGCCATTGAATATCTGTATGTTATGGAATTGTGGTAGCTTTTGAAAAGAATGTAATTGTAGCAATCATGCTTAATAAATCTTAAACAACAAACATATGCTTCCAACCCTGATCATGGAACACATTTCACACGCCTTAGATTTCCTTGTACATTTGTCCTCAAAACTGAAATATTTACAGACGGGACGTTAACCTTCACGTCCTTTGCGTTTGACCGCGTCACCGGCGTTCTCGATCTCGAGTTACAGTATCATGGTTAGCGCTTATGGCATGGTTGATTCGTGTGGTTCAGCACCGTTGTCAGATGATCGATACTCAGGCGTTATCAAATATACTAAGTGACATATAAATCCGAACACCCAGTTTAAATGGTTTTATTTTAATAAAAGTTGGTGAATGTATTTATCTTACTGTAAATAACAAGTGAAAAAATTTTCAGCCTGATCAGTTGGACATTCCGGTTTTTATACTGCTTTTTTTTAACTCACTAACGCTCTAAAAATGAATATTTCGGCCGCAGTAAAGAATCAACGTTGGCGGATTTTGGTTCTTCACATCCTTTACGATCGGTTACGATGCCTAGAGTACGGCGACCTGTACGATTTCGTCAACTTAGTGAGTTTGATAGGGGCCGTATAGTGGGACTTCGGGAAGCTGGACTTTCTTTTCGGGCAATTGCAGTTAGAGTGTAAAGAAGTGTAGACACTGTGGTTAGGTGTTGTCAGGCATGGCAACAGACCGTGAAGATCGCCGCCTAAGATTATTGGCCTTAAGGGACCGTTTCTCCACTACCAGGTCCATTGCAAATGAATGGTTTGCAGAACACGGAAGACCTATTGGCATGCGAAGTGTTTACCGACGAATGAGAAGTTTTGGCTTGTTTTCATACCGGCCACACTGGGTCCTCCCTTTAACTCGAGAACACCGACGTAATCGCCTTGAGTGGTGCAGACAACGGTCACTCTGGGATCAGAAATGGAACAGTATTGTCTTTAGTGACGAGTCTCGATTTTGCTTAGGCATGCACGATGGTCGTGCCAGGGTTAGAAGGCGACGTGGTGAAACGAGGAATCGACAGTTTTTTGTTGAAAGACATGTTCATCACACTGTTGGAGTTATGGTTTGGGGTGCTATAGCTTATGGTTCCAGGTCACCTTTAATCTTCATCAGATGTAACATGAACGCGCAGCGTTATATCCACGAAGTTCTAGAACCCCATCTTTTACCCTATCTTGACAGATCCAACTTTCCAACAAGATAATGCCCGACCACATGTTGCAAGAGTCACAATAGACTTCTTTCAACATAATGATGTCACATTGTTACCATGGCCACCAAGATCTCCCGACGTATCCCCAATTGAGCACGTGTGGGATATGATGGGTAGGAGATTGCTCAATTTGCAACGTCCTCCTCAGACTCTAGAAGCACTTCGAGAGGAGTTGGTGGTTGCCTGGAATGAGATACCACAGGAGGACATTGACCACCTGATCAGAAGCATGCCTAGGCGCGTTGGAGAATGCGTAGCACATCAGGGTGCATCCACACATTATTAAAGCTCAAATTATACAAAATTTTATTAAAATAAAACCATTTAAACTGGGTGTTCGGATTTATATGTCACTTAGTATAGGTGGGAACTATTTACTAATTGTACTTAATCCTTCATTTTTTCAATGGGACATTGCGATGAGTCGTAAGTCTGTAAATGTATACCCAGCTTCGTATGAAAATGCACTGCTCGTGCGTACAGGCACACCTATGGTACTAACGACTGTAATGACAAAGAACAGCGAGTGGTAGTAGTCCCATTTGGGCGGAGGGTCAGTGTTGCTCATGTTGTAGTTGATCGGCTTCCCGCAGTAGTCCGTCAGGTTGCTGAATATGTCCCGCACTTGTTGAGTGTCCCCTTCGTAGTGGAGCCGCAGCAAATCTGGAACAGAAATTATTCTGTAACATTGATTGTTATAACGTATGTCCGAAGAGTCTCGGCACGAAATTCATTGGCTTTAATTTTAACAAAAACGAAATAATATCAAGAACAAAAGCTTGCCCTGACAATGTTAGATACAAACATGAAGCGAAATTTGCGGATAAAATCCTTGTCTGGTGCGTAATTTCTAACAGGGGTGTATCCCAACATTTTGTGAGAATAGTGAGGGATGAAGCTTTGAATATTGATAACTGGCTTTCCAAATTGATTAAGTTTGGGCACGAACATCATGCTAATGACCATGTCATGCTTTGGTCAGACCTAGCATCATGCCATTACTCGAAATATACCCAAAACTGACTTCGACAGCATAACATACAGGGTTATCCAAATTAAGTGTCCACCATTAGTAACTTTGTTATTAGTGAAAATACAAAGTTGTTTGAATTAGCAAACTAGTAGCATTTTTAACGCTGGTAAAAATGAGAAATAAAAAAAAAAACAATTGAGAGTCGTTATTTTGATTTTTTTCAGTAAAATAACATTTTTTTAAATGGAAACCCCTGTATATTATATTTTTTTCTGTTAAAGCATCAAATTTTAAACAAAAAAGCTAACAATAACTTTTCTCCTAGGTTACAAATTGTTGAAGTTATGGCCTCCAATCTGAAACAATTAAATTGTATCGACAAACTTTATTTTCAACATCAACTTATAATCTTACAAAATACAATAACAATTTTTTTAAAGAAGATGCTCGAAAACACCACCTTGTTCTTCAATACATTTTTGGGCACGTTTTTCAACTGCTCTAACTGTCTTAAGTATGGTCCTACCATCTATCTGGGTTATCTTTTCCCTAACTGCAGTCTTTAACGCGTCAAGGTTATCGTACCTTCGCTTGTAAATTTGGTTCTTTAAGTAACCCCACAAGAAGTAATCAAGTGGGTTTAGATCTGGTGATCTGGGAGGCCACTGTATTGGGCCATTTGTTCCTATCCACTGATCATTAAAAGTAGTACTTAGAAAATGATAAGTACCTCTGGAGTTGTGGACAGGTGCGCCATCTTGCTGAAAATGCAGATGATGTCTACTTATAAGATCCAATTCGTCTAAGAAATTAGTCAGAATTTCTGACATAAATTCCACATATCTTTCACCAGTTAGGGTTCCCTCATAAAAGAACGGGCCAACAATATTTGAACCAATTATACCGCACCAAACGTTGAAACTGAAACGGACTTGTGGGCCTCTTGGATGTACTAACAAAAGATTTTCTCTTGACCAATAATGGTGGTTTTTTCTATTAAACATTCCAGAATTTGAAAAAATTGATTCATCTGTCTATAAAAGGTAACGAAAGTTATTTACATTTTGGCGACAGAAGCTAAGATACCAATGGCAAAAAACAAGTCTTCTCTCTGGATCCCCTGCCAAAAGCGTTTGAACTGGTCGGTACTTATACGGAATAAATTTGTATTTTTTAAAATCCTTTGAACAGTACCATAACTGAAAATAGAGTCCTTGAGAATATCTGCTATTGAATTCTCACGATAAGCTTCAAAATATCCAATAACTGCAATTTCCGTGGCCTCGCTTATTATGAATTCTTTTTTTGCCCTTGTTTTAGCAAAAACATTTTCGTTGCCCCTAAATTTTCGATAAAGTCTCAGAAAATATCGTTCATACGGTTGAATGCGAGCGGGATATAATTCACTGTAGTATTCTCTTGCTCTCAAGGGGGATTTTCTGCACACTAAATAGCATTCTAACATATCACACTTTTCTTCATGGGAGAACATTTTTCTTTAAATTAATGACACAATAAAGCTTATAAACAAGTATTTACACTAATGTTTGACATTATTTGATTTTATCATTGTTTTCCAAAGCCTTCTAGTTGCGAGTATGTCCAGTTTAACAATTTGTCGCTTATCTTAATGCTGTCAAATCGCGAACGCCATGTTGTTTTCATAGCCGTCTTAATATTATAATACTGCAAATAATTAAAAATATTTATCGTTATTTTGACTTCATTTTTGACTTTAGCGGAAAAGTCATTATGAACTTTTTTGTTTAAAATTTGATGCTTTAACAGAAAAAAATATAATATACAGGGGTTTCCATTTAAAAAAATGTTATTTTACTGAAAAAAATCAAAATAACGACTCTCAATTGTTTTTTTTATTTCTCATTTTTACCAGCGTTAAAAATGCTACTAGTTTGCTAATTCAAACAACTTTGTATTTTCACTAATAACAAAGTTACTAATGGTGGACACTTAATTTGGATAACCCTGTATACCTTTTATTCCGAAAAACGATAATCGTCCAAACGTGCCGCATGCTCGTCGAATAGAGGATTTTTGGGCTTTACTAGCTAGGAAGGTTTGTCATGGAGGCTGGGAAGTCCAAGATGAAGAACAATTAAAACGGCGAATTTACGAGAAACTGCGAGAAATTGATCTGACCTCATCAGAAACATCGAAGAAAGTTGCGTCTGGTAGAGCAGAAGGGGCCACTTCACATAATTCGATAGTCTAGTTTAGTATTGAGTTGTAATTTATGATAACTAGTTAGTGTTTGGATAAATTCCTTCATTAAAAAAAAATCCGCTAAATATTTTGGTCCAACACTTTATTAATCATTAATTCAGATTCTCTCTCTTTTAATTTATATGGTTAAAGTTTATTGTGTTTGATATTATTATTTAATTTACAGATGTTAACTCATTTGATGCTTAAGCGCTCTCGAATTGAGTACTTTGTATTTCTGTTATTGACTTATTGAGTATTGAGATAGCTGTTTGCGTATTTGCGTATTTAAATTCAAATTGGGATTCTAGATACAAATTTATTTGATCAGAGGCTTGATTCTACCGTTGAAATTGATTTCGATGGCGTCTTGTGACGATATACTTGATTAGCTATGATAATTTTGACACTGCCATGATAATTTGAATATAGAAGATCAATATAATCAGATGTCAAAATTGTCATAGCGAATCAAGTATATTGTCATAAGGCGCCATCGAAATCAATTTCAACGGTTGAAACTCATCAATCAAGCCCCATATTTGATCTTGCCTTGCCTTGTATACTTATTTTCATTAGTTTTGGTCAGAAACCTCAATTTTGTGTATCATTTTTTCCATATACAGGGTGTTCCTTAATGATATGCGAATATTTAAGGCGTGGATCTACATGAAAAAATAATGATGTTAGTTTGCTTTATAAACTATAGTCTTTTCCTTACAAAAACTCGGAGTGTTGAAGTTTTAGGAAAAAAATAGAAATTACTCAGAACCGCTTCATATATTTCACTGATATTTAGTATCTAGTGAAAGAGTTGCATTTTTAACAGTGGCGAGCGAACGGATATTGACTTCGATATTTTTTAAGAAAAAAATGGTACGCCGATATTTTTTCGCCAAATAAAAATTATTTTTTAATTCCCCGTTATTTTTTTCCTAAAACTTCAGCACCCCGAGTTTTTGTAAGGAAACATTTTTGGACCATAGTTTATAGAGCAAACTAACAGTAATTTTCCAGGAAGATTCACACGATTACCTATTCGTATATCATTAAGGAACACCCTGTGTGTACTTTTGCGAGGATACCGCTCAATCTACCCTAAAATGAGCTTCAGTGTTATTCGCTCATTCACAGACCCTCTTCTAACGTCTCGTATTTCAGTAGCGACACTTAAGAAACAATCTGAGTGACAATGGAGGTTTGCATATCGACCAATTGAGACTAACCAAAGTGACATAGATATCATCCACCAAATACATACAAATGTCATATCAACAATGTACTACTTGTGATCGCTATCTACATGTGATTTCAACTTCATAGCGGATTATCATTATCAGCATCGGAATAATCGCAAATCAGAGTCAAATACTTCTGATTGCGATTAAAAAGATGTTGAGTATCAATTATTCCATTGAAATGGATTATTTCGAAAGTTGTGTAATAAGATTTTGGAGGGATCCTCTAGAAAACAATGTAAGAAGTGGAGAACGACGAAAAGTTATAGTGGCGGACTGAGCCAGCGCGGGTCCTGTAGCAAATTATATCAAGCGGCCCTTAGGCTGTGAAAATAGCATTAAAATAAAACTAGTACAAATACTACTGTCCATTACAACAAACATATTCAATACAATACGTATGCATCAACGTGAGGCTATTCAGGTTCTCGGCATTTTTAACACGTAAGACTGATAACGAATGTTCACCGCTGCAGTTGGTGATCATGAGAGGCAAATAAATGCAGGCAATGTCTACGTTTGCGAAACAAAACTCTCAAGAATTATTTACCAAATGTTTATACAATTGCGGTTCCAGAGCGTCGTGGCATACCAGCGGTGGATCGAGAGAGAAGTTTTGAGCTGGGTCAACATTTAAAAATTGAAGAAATGAAAAATATATCTACTAGCTCTGTCTGTCGTCCTTTCTGAAGAGATGTTATGTTCAAAGTTATACATTTCAATTTCTCCTGTTTTTTTTTTAAACTTTGATAAGTATTACGGGAAATCAGCCCCGCAACCGTGTTATGTGAAATTAATTTGGAATGACGCATCACATACAAAACATTTTCGCACTGCCTCACAGGCGCTGATTTGTATTTTCTACATGACATCGTGAAACAAATTCCTAAAAAATTTTAGTGACTGGAAATAAAAATTAATATACCAAGTGACATATAAATCCGAACACCCAGTTTAAATGGTTTTATTTTAATAAAATTTTGTATAAGTACTTAATGAAGCATAATAAGTAAATGATAAAAATTTCAAAATGATTGCACTGCTTTAAAGCCCTTTGACCTTTAATAATATGTGGATGCACCCTGATGTGCTACGCATTCTCCAACGCGCCTAGGCATGCTTCTGATCAGGTGGTCAATGTCCTCCTGTGGTATCTCATTACAGGCAACCACCAACTCCTCTCGAAGTGCTTCTAGAGTCTGAGGAGGACGTTGCAAATTGAGCAATCT